CTGGTGTCCTTGCAGCACAGTGCCAGCCCAGCCAGCGGCCCCTGCCTTCATCCCACGCTCTTCCTCTCTCGCCCTCTGGATGAGCTCTCCTCACTGACTCAGGAGAATGACTGATGAGCATAGGTGCCAAAATCACGATCTATCGCGGAGCTGTAGGGGCTGGAAGGGACCTCAGAGGTCATGGAGTCCAGCCCCTGCACAGCAGCTCCCTGCAGCAGGCTGCGCAGCTCAGTGCACAGGAAGCTCTGCGATGCCTGCAGAGAAGGAGAACCCGCGGCCTCCCTGGGCAGCTCAGCGCTGTGCCGCCCCCGTTGTGAAGGATCCCTTCCCATATCGGTGCAGACCTTCCCACGCTGCGCTTCGTGGCCATTTCCCCCATCCCCACGGAGCGCTGAGAAGAGCCTGGCCGTGTCCCTTTGACAACCACACTCAAGAGATCTACGGACACTGATCCGATCACCTCCCAGCCTTCCTTTCTGGGGGCTGAAAGCCCCGGGTCGCTCAGCCTGTCCTCACAGGAGATGCTCCAGGCCCCGCATCACCTCTGCTCCCTCTGCTGCATCTCTGCAGGAGATCCCTGTCGTTTTGAACGGAGTCCAGAATCAGTCCGGATCAGAACCAGAGCCCAGTGTTCCAAGCATGGCCTCACCAGGGCAAAGCAGAGAAGGGGGGTCACCTCCCTTGCCCTGCTGGCCACGCTCCCCTTCATGCTCTTAATGCCCCCAGGGTCCCGCTGGCCCTCCTGGCCACCAGGGCACACAGCCCACAGACGACCTGTCGCCCACTAGGAGCCCCAGGTCCCCCTCTGCAGAGCTCCTCTCCAGCAGCTCGACCCCAGTGCATTTATTCCTCCCCGGCTGCAAGACTCTGCCCTTGCTCTTGTTAAACCCCCTCTGGTTTCCTGCTGCCCAGCTCTCAGCCTGCCCACGGCTCGTCGCTCAGCACTCAGCCCTCATTTCGGAGCATCCCACCAGTTTGGCTGCCTGTCCTTGGGTGACACCGATGGGGTGGTGGGAGATAAGGAGGATGGAGAGGAATATCTCTGCCCATCGCATCCCTACCTACACCCGGAGAGACACAGCTCAGCCTCGGGTGGAGGCCCCGGCTGCTTCTCTCTTCCATTACTGTGTTTCTCCTGCTGAAGATTCCCTGTTAGAACAGAATGCCTTCCAACACGGCTTCCAGTCTGTCACGCTGCATCCATAACCAGGCGGCAAGGGAGAGCTCAGCGCGTAATGCAACGATGCAACAGCCCTGTTCCTACAAACGGGCCACTAGAAGGCACTGTGTGCCTGCTGCTTCAAATCAACGCGCGGCCGATGGGGGGAAGTGCTTCTCTTGAAGGCAACCACAGCAACAGCCAGAGGGGTTAATGGGGACATTGCACCAGAGGGGTTGATGGGGACATTGCAAAGCGCAGCGTCCGTTCGTGGTGCAGAGCGCTTTGGCAGGTTCACACTGTGCTGAATTTGTGTTCCTCGTGTCTGCAGTCCTCGCTCTTTCCATGAGCTGCAGCACCAAAAGCCCGTTTAGCACCTGCCTGAAATGCTCGGACTGTTTCCTCCTGAGCACACGGCGATGGCTGTGCCCGCATTGCCTCGGCGGCGGCAGTTACTGCGCATCCCGCATTACGTTTCCTTGAGTCAGAAAAGCGCTTCCATCCAGGAATCCTCACCATCTCCCAGTGGTTCCCCTGTCGCTCGGCCCAGCGGCGCGGCCAGCCTCCGTCAGTCACACTGCTGGCTCACAGGTGGCTCCGCTTTGCTGCTCTGTGAGTCCGGCAAATTGCTGCCTTCCTTCTCTTCCATCAGCAGGGCTCTCTGTCGAGAAACTTGGTGGCCATTTAAACCCAGGAATTCAGCGAACTCGCAGCCCATGGCACACAGCCCTCTGCTGTCGTTGTGGCATCTTATTATCGCGCAGCAAAGCTCCACCCTGCCGTGGAGGCCCCCACTCATGCTCAGGAGCTGACAAATCCTCGCAACTCGCTGGGCTGTTCTCTGGGTGAGAGGTGGGTTGTGGTTTTGCAGTAGCAGCTTCCAGGATTTTCTGCATGCAGTATCGGCCTTTACTGAACTCCTATGTGAAACAGTTGGTTTTCTTCTGCTAAGAAAGCTACTGAGCAGAGTAAAGATTTGGGGCGCTCTGAGTGGGGTAGAACTGAGCCAGGCAAAACATGAGGCAAATACAGAGAGTGGAGAGAGAGCCCAGCACGGGGCAGCAGAACGTGTTGCTCATTCTTGGAATCATTGCCCTCCTAATCCATGGAAAGCACAAATTCACCAAAGACACGACGTGTTGGGGACTGGGCTGACGTGGAGGTGAATCAGAGCAGCGGCGCGGGGCAGACCGTGAGCCTGAGGCGCTCAGCCTCTGAGCAGCAGCAGAGCCGCACTGCGCCGCCTGGGGCCACGGGACGGACGCCGCCGACAGGCGCGACTCCTCCCTGCCAACCCTGCAGCCATGAGTGAACACGGCTGCTGCCACCAACATCCCTAACCTGAAATCTGGGACTCGGATTTTTTCTCACGCTGGTTAACAGCGCCCAGGTTCGCTGAGGCTTTGCTCCCCGTGTCGGGGTTTTCCTACTCTCCTGCTGCAATCCGGAAGGCGAATGCCACGCACTCATTGCTTAACTTGGCCAGTGGGTTTGCTGCCACTGGCTGCGTCTTCAACAGTCCTATCAACTGCCCCCCAGCCTTGGACCAAACTATCGCTCCTCCCATCCATCATTAAATCAGCAGGACTGGGCTGCTGTCCTTGGGTTCACATTCAGCCAACGATCCAATCTCCAAGAAGCGATCTGCTGCTTCTCTCGTCCTTCCAACACCTCACAGGGCGCTGCTTCACCCACCTCCTGCTTTTAACTTCCCTTCTATCGGCCGCATTTTGGCTCTGCCAGGCGTCCCCGACCCCGCACAGCTGGGTGAACCTGATTGAGATTTCTGTAACTTCTGGGGGTGCAACGCTGTTTTTCCCAGCTTGAAGCCAGACTGAAAACTTCTGATCTTCCGAAGCATGCTACTTCTGGCTTGTAATCTCAATACCTGCAAGATACCTGCAGGGAAAGCTCAATTCTGAGGCACCCTTCAGCAAATTATGTTGTATATACCACTGTAACTGTCACTCATAGAACATCAATACTCTCTTTTTGTATTGGTAATATTGGACTGGGCAAAATAAGCTCCTTTAATTTGAGAATTATTATATTTTAGCAAAATGCATAAGATAAAAACTTGTCTTGTTTTACCCTTACCCCTTTTTTTTTTTTTTTTGCATTTGACTGGTAAGACTTTCCCCGTTGGCCAGTAGCTCCTGCTGCTGCCCCAGCAGCCACCCGCGGCGGCAGCTCCCCGGCAGCCAGGCTCGGCCCGCTGACCCGCAGGCTTTGCCGTGAAATGGCGACAGCCGCTCCGCTGCCGCCGGGCCGCTCGCTCCTCCCACGCCGCTCGCAGCGCCGGTTGGGGCCGCCGGCTCCGGCCGCCTTCCGAGCGGCGTTTCGCAGGACTCGAGCGCTCTTTGGCTCCGGGTTTCGCGCTGATGCTCAGGAGAGCCGAACGCGGCCCCGCCAGCCCAGCCTCCTGGCCGGCTCTGCAGCCTGTGCTTCCATCGGCTGCTTTCATCTTTCCCACCCGGCCCCTCGCCTCGCAATGCGAGCCATTGCTGATCTGCTCCATACGGCTCGCTGAGCTGCTGGCAGTCTGTGCGATAAAACGAGTTCCCCGGTGGGTGGATATTGTTGCAGGAGCCACCAACCTCGGAGTCATCGGCAGCAGGGCTTTGGTTGCTTCTTGGGCTTCGTTGGTCCTGCAGGGAATGCTGCTGCTGCTGAAAAGGCACTCAAAGAACGGCAGAACGGCAGAACGGCAGAATGGCCGAGGTTGGAAAAGGCCTTTGAGATCCGCCCAGTCCAACCGTCCACCCGTCACCAATATTCTCACTAATCCTCGTCCCTCAGCACAAAATCCAGACGTTCCTTGAACACTCCGGGCTCGGTGACTCCATCGCTCCCTGGCAGCCCATTCCACTGCCTGACCTCTCCTGCTATTTCCTATATTTCCTAACGTCCAGCCTGAAGCTCCCCAGCGCATCCGGAGCCCATTCCCTCCGGTCCTATCCCTGCTACACGAGAGCAGAGGCCGACCCCCCGCTCACTGCAGCGTCCCTTCAGGCAGTTATGGGGAGCAACCAGGTCTCCCCCGAGCCCCCCCTTCTCCAGGCTGAAAGCTGCACTGGTTACAGCCAGCATAGAATGAAACCCTCCATTTCCGTGGCAGTTCTGAGAAGGATCCATCTGCCATTGTTGCCCTGGAAGGTTCCCTTCCTAACGCCCTGCTCGTGCCCTGGTCCTGCCCCCAGGTTCCTACAACTGCTTGGTAGCATCTGCTCCCTCAGTGTTTGATTGTGTTCCCTTAGGACCAATTTCCATCAAATACTAAAGGGCACCGCAGCGTGTCGTCTGCATACGCACCCGTCTGTCATCTGCTTTCCTCCCTTCTAAATCACTGATTAGATTCCCGTCCTCTCTAAAATACTTTAATAGAATCGCAGAACCACAGAATGGCGTGGGTTGAAAAGGCCAAACGGAAACAGGGGAGGCTGAGGTTGGATGTAGGAGGAAGTTTTTCACACAGGTGGTGAGGCACTGCTACAGGCTGCCCAAGGAGGCTGTGGATGCCCCAGCCCTGCAGGCGTTCAAGGCCAGGCTGGATGTGGCTCTGGGCAGCCTGGGCTGCTGGTTGGTGACCTGCACACAGCAGGGGTTGGAACTGATGCTCGCTGTGCTCCTTTCAACCCTGGCCATTCTGTGAGTCTATGATTCCATGGGTCCTTATGGCACCCTGTGGGTCCCTCCGAGTCTCGCTTTTTGCGCATGCGCACACCCGAAGGACCCGCGCACGCGCCCCTCCCCCTTGAGTAACGGCGGCGCTGTGCGGAGCGTGCGCAGCGCATGCGCAGAGAGCGGCGCGGCCCGGCCGTGAGGGGAGCCGGGCGGCCATGAGCGCGGCGGAGCCGCAGGGCGCCGGGCTGCGCTTCGCCGAGCGGGAGCTGAGGCGGCACGGATGGACGCGGGGTGAGCGCCGGCCCGATCGCTCCCGCTGAAGCGGCGGGGCGCGGCGCGGCGGCTGAAGGGTGTCTCTATCCGCAGGCCGCGGGCTGGGGAAGCGGGAGGACGGCATCGCGCGGCCCATCCGCCCGAGCGTCAAGTGCGGCACCGCGGGGGTGAGCGCGGCCTTCAGACCCCCCCCAGCCCCCGGATCGGCCCGCCGCCGCTCCTCACCCCCGTCCTTCACCGCAGGTGGGGCACGACGCTGCCGAGCAGTTCTCCTTCCACTGGTGGGATCACGTCTTCAACGAGGCGGCGGCCAACATCGCCGTGCGGGACGGGCAGGTGCGGGGCGGGCGGGGGGAGTTATTGGGGGGGGGAGGGGGGGGGAATCATTGCAGCCCTTCTGAGCGGTGCGGGCCCTCCGCAGAACCTCTGAGTGCTGCCTGGAGCCCCCCTTCCCCTCCCCACTGCTATCCAGAGCTCACAGTGCCATCTGCAGCTCCTCGCTAGCTGCCCAGTGCCACCTCCAGCCTCTCCCAGTGCCTCCAGTGCTGCCTGCAGACCCTGAGCATGCTCCCAGTGCCACCCAAAACTCCCCACAGCCCCCTGCTGCCATCTGCAGCCCCTCAATACCTCTGTTGCTGCCCCCTCCCCCCAGTACTGCCTTGAGCCCCTCCCAGTGCCCCCCC